TTTTGCTTCAGAGCGTCAAATGCCTCCTGTTGTTCTATCGACCAGATCCATTTTTTTCCCTTCTTTAGCAGTGCTGTCATTGGTTGGATCGTATTTGAATATTCCCGCACGAATCTTGGATACCAAGACGCTATTCCTAGACATCGTCGTAGTTCTTTCAAATTTGTGGGAGGTGCTAACTTCTTTATGGTCGCTATTTTATCTGGGTCGGTGTGGATTCCTTGATTGCTTACAACGTACCCAACATATTTGATCTCGTCCATAAAGAATTTGCATGTTGAATGTTGATTTTAAGCCGTGCCTCTCGCTAACGTCTCAATACTTCTTGTAGATGCGTCTTATGTTCCTCCAGTGTGCGGCCAATTACTATAATGTCATCAAGATATGCGAAATAGTAGTGCCAAAAATGTAACTATCCGTTACTTTGTATTCGTTACTCAGGAAATACCTGAGTAATGAATACAAACTTTTTATTGTATTCGTTACTTTTACTCTTTTTACCAATGAGTAATATTTATTATAACTACTCTTTCGAGTACTTAGTAACGATTACTTTTAAGCAATTGTTTTTGCGATATAATAATAACTACTATATTTTGATCAAAATTTTTCTTCGCTATCAAATTCATTAAATATGTTTAAAAATATTAATATAAAAAAGTGAAATTTGGATTCGATTGAACCAGTAGAGCGTGAAAAGCTAAATGCAAAATATGCGGATCAAACAATTCAATAAAATAATTCTAATGTATTAAATCTACAATTTATTATAATAAATATATATGCTTTTAAAAATTTCTTTTATTGCCGAAAAAAAGCATTTAAACTTCAGTAACGAATGCACAGTAACGAAAGCGCAGTAACGAAACCGCAGTAACGAATACTGAGTAACGAATACATACTCGAAAAGTAACGGGTTATTACAAATACACAAAAGTAACGAAGTTTGGCACCACTAATGCGAAAGCGTATGGCTCCATCTCAGACCCTATTACCTTATCCAATGCCCGTTGGAAGGTGGCAGGTGCTGAGTGTAGGCCAAACGGCATAACACGCCATTGGAACAGCCCTCTTCCAGGTACAGTAAATGCTGTAAACTTTTTGCTGGCTTCGTCCATTGGTATTTGCCAGTACCCATTTTGCAAATATGTTGTATTTGCAGCAGTGGGTACGCATCTGGGATGGAATGGGCATTGAGTAGTCTATAATCAACACAGAACCTCCAATTTCCATCTTTCTTTTTGACGAATACTACTGGAGCGCTGTATGAACTGTACGATCGTTCTATTCATCATTTTTCTAGTAGTTCGTCCACATCTTGATTTAGAATTTTTTGCATTGCTGGAGGTCTTGGATGATATCTTTGCTTAATTGGTGCATCATTTTTCATTGTTATCTTATGCGTTGTAATGTTTATTGTTCCCTCCAACTTAGCAAAATAGGCCAATTCTTTGTTTAAGAAGTTTTCAATTTCAGGCGTTTCGTCGATGTTACTCTGCCGTATACTGCAGTAACGGCTGTCGATGTGTTTGCTTATCTGTATCGGAATGGCAGTTTTCTCAATCTGTAGGTTACTCTGAGTGCTAGATAGGAAATCTAAACCTAATACTAGGTTGTTAGCCATCACTTTTAATACCAAGAACTCGATTTCAGTTTTTGTTTTTCCTAGGTTAATTGTGGCTATTACTGCTTCAGTTAGTATGCGTCTTGTAATATCTGCTAAGATGATATCTTTGCTGAAATGTTTCTTTTCTGCTTATATTTTTGTTAGTAGTTCGAGTTCAATGAAACTCCTGGTTGCACCTGTGTCTATGGTAGCCGGTACTGGAAGGTCTTGAATTTGTACGTTGACTGTGAGGTGTAGGCTAATGGGCTTTCCTTGGTTTACTTGGTATGTGTCGTGGTCACGTTCGCTTGGTTTAGGCGACGTGACCGTAATCCGTTTCCCTGAGTATTTGGTCTTCGACAGCGCTCTATGGTGCGTATATCCTTTTTCCCACATTGCCAGCAAAACAGAACCTGTGGATTACGATAACCCTTTGTGATGTATCCTGTTCAACCCAATGATAGCATATTTTTGATTAGCTTATGTGTGTGACTTGGCCAAATGGTATCTGTCTTCCTTTGTCGATTGGGCGAGTTTCTGTTGGTTTCTTCTTCTCTTCTGTGCGGATGATTTCGTAGTCTTCTGCTAGATTTATTAGCTCCGTTAGGGACTGAAATTCTCTACGCTTGATGTACAATTGATATTCTGTTCTACTGTTGTGAAATATCCTGTCCAGCTGTTGTATTGCTGTGTAGTTTAGGTATTTCGTCAAATGTTGCATCACTAAAACATATGTCTTGAAGTCTTCTTTACTTTGCTGGTGTCTCTGCCGGACTTCATCATCAAGTTGTTTCAAGTAGCAGTAGGAAAAATTTTAATAAATCCTCCTTGAAGTCATTCCAATTCATCCAACTTTATTTATTATGTCGGAACCATACCAGAGCTTTGTCTTTTAACAACTCAGGCATACTTCTTGGCAGCATGTTTAATTGAATGTCATAGACATCTGCTAGTTCCTCCAATCGTTCGACAAAAGCAATCGGATCAGCTCCTCCGTCATATTTTATGGACCACTTCCGTACTTGGTCAATCACCATGGCATATACTGACTTAGGCATAGATGCACTTTCTCTGAGTTCTTCTGTTGACGTCTTTGCTTGTATCAATGGCTCTTGGAAGGTTTCTTTGCCCACTACTTCTTCGAAGATGACTTTCCCATGCTTCTGTGACAAGCTTGTTAGCCGAGAAGTCACCTGCATTCAACGCTCCGATAAACAAAATAAAGTACCTGATAGTAATCCTGCTACTGTTTTAGGCAAACGAACACTTGCGAAACGGGACTTCTAACTGCCGACTGCACATGGTGTAGCTTTCTTATAAGTTGTTATTGCCTATTTTAAATGCCTGCGGCTGGTATGTTTACTGTTGTTGTTTGCTGCACATTTATTAAAAATTTGGCAAAATAATTACACTCAAAAAAAAGAAGTGTTATCACTTATTTTATATTTTAAGGAGGATTACATTTTTCTTTTTTTAATTTTTATTAAATTAATAATAACTTAATAATATTGATATTTTATGCTAACTTAATAATACCTTAATTTTAAACTTATTAATATCTTAACTTTATTAATACCTTATACTAACATTTTGTTTTGCGTTTATATTAACTAATTATAAACCATTTCTTTCTCAACTAAAAATAGCTTAATTCTATTGTTGTCTTATTATATATTTTTATTGTTTTTTCTTTTTTACTAGTTTTACATTAATAATAATAACTTACTTGCATGCATAGTGCATTGCGATTTTTGTGACGAGATGGTAAAAGTCGTCACAGTCTTCAGAAGCGTCGAACGAAACTCAAAACATGTTTAACGGTTCTTTAGTTTACCATTTAAGTTTATTTACCGCTGAAATTGCATTTAAGATCTGCTTTTTCAAGTCTACGACTACTAACTCCGAGTCCCACGTATGATGCAAATTTTTTGTAATGACTAATCGGTCTTAGTTGCTTATTTTCATATAAATACTATGATCTATTGGTGTCGGAAAACATATTTGTTGGGATCCTGTAGTCGTCAATATTAAACAAGTTGACTTCGTAGACTCCATTGCTAAGTAGTTTAACAGGGAATTGTTCTTTTACAATTTCAACAATCTTTGCGTACATCTCTCTATAATTATCAACATGCGATGCCATTATAGGAGGAGGGCGAAGTGTACGTTTGCCTAAAGCAGTAGCAGCATTACTATCAGGTACTTTATTTTGTTTATCGGCGTGAAGACTCAGCTTTTCTCTTCTTACTTGGTGTTGATGTTTTAGACTTGTCCAATCAGTTTCCCAAGCTACTTTTTCCTCATCAGTTTCGTACTCAGGTTTTCTGCTTGAATCTTTTTATTTTTTATAAGATTTACAGAAGTTTCTCTAGTTTCAGCTTTTCGCAAAATGTTTTCAGCTCTCGGATTTCTAAGAACAGTTTATTTTCATTTTCTGTCCGTTGTTCGCGTTTGTCACATTCGTTTCCACCACCAGGAGTTGGCAAACCACTTTCCGTCATACTTATTTATAAGAGAACTCTGATCACTAGTGCACAGTTTTCACAGCATAAAACAAAATTACAAAACTATTAATATATAATTGAAAGTTTGTTGAATTTATGATTTTATTTAATATTATTATTATTTATTATTATTTAGCATAAGGTTGTTCCTTAACTACACAATTACACAAAAACACAAATTCGTGAGCTTTTAAGCTTTATTTGCTGTGTCTATCAGCTGTTTTTAAATGTATTTGTTTAAGAGATAAATAAACAAATTCAAAAAACAAAGCAAAAATTCACTTTTTTATAAAAAAGAAATAAGTATAATAACTTATTTATTTATTTAATATTCGAAAACTATTATTTTTTGTTTTAGAGTCAATGTCTCGATGCTTTTTAATAAAATTGTTATCATTTTTTGCGTTTTTCACATAGAAAACAACGAAAGTTACGGAATGATTCCTCTTTGCGCGCACACCTGATGAAAACACGCAATTGACAATTGAAAAAAATTGATTTTTTTGACACAAATTAAATCCAATGATTTAAAATATGTATAATAATTAATATTATTACAAATTTTTTGTATTTTTGGACAAACACTGTGAAACAGGTTATTTCAAAAAAAAAAATTATTCGAAATTACTTTACCTAAGATAAAGTAAGATTGAAAAACATCGAATTATTTGCAGACTATTTTAGTTGTTACAATCATATTAATGTTGATGAAGGTCTTAAAATAATTATACTTCAGGTTTTGAATTTCATTTAAATTTAGTTTCCGGAATCAGTTGATTCTTATAATTAGTTTTGATTTGGTGTGTACATAAGAACTTAATAATGTTGATGCAAAAGCAATACACATTTGCACTAATCAAATGTCGTGTATATATTAATAGACAGAGTCATTTATTATCTGGTATGCAGGTTAGAGTAATTTTATTTTTATTTAAATTTGATACAACCATAAGTTCTAAATTTTAAATGAAAACGTACATTTCTTCAACATATTAGTTTAAAACCTTGTAGGGATTTAAAATACCATTTGGGTCCAAGAATTTTTTTAAGCTACGCATCATCTTAATGGATTCTGGACTTTTCGAATACTTTAAATAATTTCGTTTTAGAAAGCCAATTCCGTGTTCTGCGCTGATGCTTCCTTTAACTTTGCATGTGTATTCAAATACAAAGGGTTCAATTCGATTGTAGAGTTCTTCTGTAAATTTTTCGCAAGATATGTTTAAGTGCAAATTTGAATCACCTTGTTTCATAAAAATTAAAGTATTAAATCTCAAGTATAATTAGATTTATGGTTCTTGAATATATATACCCAAATGTCCGTAGCCGCAAACACATTTAGCTAAGTCTCCCACACGATCTTGCATCACATTAACAATATTATAGAACTCTCGTAATGGTAAAGAAATGTCATATTTAAAACAGTAACCATTATTTACAAGAGCTACAGGCACTAGCTCTCGAAGCTTCCAAATATCTTGAATTTTACTAAGTTCTGCTGTAACAGTTCCATCTAAAATTTCTCCATTTTTCATACCGTTTTCCAAAAACTCGTTAAACTTTTCTAAATCATGTGATGCATTGCTACCAGAACTTTCAATAAGCATATAAAATGGATATCCTTGAATTGGTGCACTTAAAAATAAATAGAAATCAATTGAATTAAATTCTAATTTTATGTTAATGATTTACTTGAGCTTGAAGTGAGACACGCTTGCTTCTAAACTTCCCGCATCAATCATTTCACAAGACGATAAAATTTCTCCCAAATATCGTTTTGCATTGATAAATGTTCTCAAAACGTGATCAAAAGATGAAAGTCCTAAAAATTTTAATTAGTATGAAAGTAATTTCAACGTTTTTTAAATTTTGATTAATTTATTACACCTACCTAAAAATGCTAAATGGACTGCATCTGATTTAGGAGGACACAACAATGATATTTTTGTTATCACTCCCAAAGTTCCCTCAGAACCAATGAATAAATGCTTCAAATGATAACCGGTATTGTCTTTCTTGAAGTCTGACATAAGGTCAATTATTTGACCACTAGCAAGAACCTAATTTTAACGAACCATATTAAGAAGTACACATCTATATACAAATTTCTTACCGCTTCAACTCCTAAAACAGATCCATGTAAATTTCCATACCGTAGAACTCTTAAGCCTCCAGCATTTGTTGACACATTACCACCAATATAGCAGCTTGATTTTGCTCCCAAATCAACTGGTACTACTAAACCTACTTCTCTAGTTTTGTTATCTAGGTTCTCTAAAATGCAGCCGCTTTCACAAACAGTTATACCAGTGATTTGATCAATGCTTATAATTCTATTAATTCGTTGTAAGGAAAGTATAATCTCATCACAAATAGGTACAGAGCCCCCAACGAGGCCTGTATTACCACCTTGTGGGCACACTGCTAATTTCCGCTCATTGCAATATTTTAAAATGGCAGAAACCTCTTTCACACTTCCAGGTTTCAGAACAAGTTGACTATTACCTGAAAATTGTTCGAAAACTCGAGTATATGAAATTTAAAGTTGCTGAATGTCTGTTACGAACTTACCACAAACGCTTCTCAAAAAGTCTACATTGTACCCATCTAAGTCTTCTTGCAACAGATTGCGTTTACCTATGACAGATTCAAAAAAGCTTATGTCCTTGCTATCCAGAAAACCATAATTACCACGTTTTACGTTGTGTCGGATCTTTTAAAAATAAAACCACTTAAATATGCAATTTAAACTTGAATATAAATGAAAAATTTGAAAATATTTGCACCTTCATATTACAGAATAATAATAGCGTTTAAACCAATTTTAATATAAAGTATACTCAGTCGTTCCGAAATAGTAGTGCCAAAAATGTAACTATCCGTTACTTTGTATTCGTTACTCAAGAAATACCTGAGTAACGAATACAAACTTTTTATTGTATTCGTTACTTTTACTCTTTTTACCAATGAGTAATATTTATTATAACTACTCTTTCGAGTACTTAGTAACGATTACTTTTAAGCAATTGTTTTTGTGATATAATAATAACTACTATATTTTGAACAAAATTTTTCTTCGCTATCAAATTCATTAAATATGTTTAAAAATATTGATATAAAAAAGTGAAATTTGGATTCGATTGAACCAGTAGAGCGTGAAAAGCTAAATGCAAAATATGCGGATCAAACAATTCAATAAAATAATTCTAATGTATTAAATCTACAATTTATTATAATAAATATATATGCTTTTAAAAATTTCTTTTATTGCCGAAAAAAAGCATTTAAACTTCAGTAACGAATGCACAGTAACGAAAGCGCAGTAACGAAAACGCAGTAACGAAACCGCAGTAACGAATACTGAGTAACGAATACATACTCGAAAAGTAACGGGTTGTTACAAATACACAAAAGTAACGAAGTTTGGCACCACTATTCCGAAATGCGTTAATTGATAATAAGTTTCTTTCTAAAGTCTGTTGTTGACATTTTGGCATCACTGTTGCAATTCGTCAAATATCACATATTTAGAATAAACAAGTTTTACTTACGTTTCACGTACAAACACAAAATTCAGTGCAAACCAAATTTTGTATTGTAAAAACATTTTATTATTATTTATTTCATTTTGATTGTTATAGTTATCGTTTATATATTTTTCGTCTGTATTTCACAACATTACAATATCAATCATCTTAAAATCAGAAATCAGTTCGTTTGGTGAAAATTCTGTCGTTGTATTACGCTGTGAATTTACACACCAATTCAGATCTCGAAAATGTTCATCCCATTTGAGATCAATACCAATTGTACGCAGACAAATAATAATCGCCTGACTTATAATCGCCTCTGTCGCTTACAATCTGTAAATCGGTTGTATCTTCGTGCTTCTAGCTGCTTTGATAATGATATATTTTGTGAAAGCATCGAAAATTGCATACCTTTTTCCAAGAGAGTTTCTCATAAACGGCCCCAGGTGGTCTATGTGAAGTCTATAAAGTGTGTAGCAACACTTTGCTAGGGTATCCTCAGCTGTCGTCCAGTGTCGTACACTAAAATTTATATTCACTGGAACAGAGTACTGAATAAAAGACGTAATTTTACAATATTGTCAAATGTTTTATTTCGTTATTTACTTATAATTCAAAAATAAAAAAAAAATTTAACATTTAAAATTCAAAATTATTTTCATAAACAAATTGTGTTATTCAAGCTCGTGGTTTTTATTCAAAGGTAAGTCAATTGCACATGCACACACGAATAGACAGGCTTAAAGCAGCACAAGATCCTTGTTGTAAGCGACGAACTGTGTTCCTCCGTTGGCTTCAGTTCATGTAACCAAAAGACTTCTGGCAGGAACGCGTAGTGTGCTGGGACCCTCATCTACTTCAAAATGATGGAAACTCTATGAAAAGGATTTAATCAATTGGTTGAATAAACCAGGTTAGTAAAATATTTTGGCTGAATGAACCAGAATATTAAATAATAATTTGGCTGCATGAACCAGATTAATAAATAATATTTTGGATAAATTAACCAGGATAATAAATAATAACTTGGCTGAATGAGCCAGAATAAAAAATAATAACTTGTTTGAATGAGCCAGATTTTGTTTTAATTAACCAGTAGGCTGAATGAGCTAGCGTGTAAAAACACAAGTCCTCGGTCGTATCAAATGCGTGTACTTTTATATCGAATATACCGGATGTTTTTAGTGTAGCGTACTGGTAGATTTGCCGTTGATATTTCTAGTGTAATTTTTGTGCTATTTGTGTTTTCGTGTGCTTTTTGTGCTTTTTCCATTTACTTTGTGTTTTTCGCATGCTTTTACTTTCGCCGTGATTTTTTTCTTCACTTCTCGTATAAATGATAATTTTCATTCTTTAATTTAAAATAAAAAAATAATAAATATATTTTTTAAAACGAAAAATGCTATATATAAAAGAATAATAAAAATGTGGAATAAAATCCAAGTGAGTAATTAATTAATGTGGTTTAACTCTAGTGGTTTTGCATAAAACCGGTTCCGGTATGTTATTGTAATATGTTTTCGGTGGTGGTTTGTTTATGTTTGTACAAATTTTTAATAAAAATATATTAATACAAATTTATTAATGTAATAACCTATGTTTTGTTTTTTTTTATGTAAAATAAGAAAAAACTGAAGAAGTGTTGCTTGTGATATGTTTTATTTACTGGGAAAATAAAAATATGAATAGTGAGTGTTTAGTTATTGAATTTATGTTTGTGAAATAAATGTTTTATTTTTTTGTTTTGCAAATTTCGCATAATCAATATTTACTTAGTTGGCCATTACAGACGTGAACCGTCCTTGGCAGCGTCGAGTAGCCTCCGCCAGCTTGCACGATAAATTGCTTGCTGCCGGTAGTTGGCAGTACCGAGCGCCCCCAAATGGTTGGTCACCTGGTCCTTGAACCAAAGATACGGACGTCCTTTACCGTGATTTCCACCTGCGGGTACAGCAGGACAGGCATGATAAGAGATTTATAGAACGTGATTTTTGTTTGTCGAGAGACCTTTATTTCTCAATTGCTTACTTAGCCCGAAGTAACATCTGTTAACAAGAGAGATTTTTCATTGAACTCATAAAAATTAAATAAAAATTCATTTTTTTTTTATTTATGAAATTCAATTCACGTTTATACATTTTTTCTCTTCAGGCTTCTTTGTAAGTTGCGTATACATGCCCGCGGCTTGTTAGCTCAGAGGATCGCAGGTAGTGTCAATAAAATTTGTGGTAAACTTATTTTTTAACAAACTTCATATTTTCAGGTTACAGTGGTGCTGTTTAATTCGGATGAGAGTCTTACTGTTACGTCTATATGTGTAGTGGTGTTCGGTAATATATTGACAGTCAGATACTGTTTTTCGTTTGGAATATGTGTGATAGAAATTTTATATAAAAATTAATATAAAAATTTCTATTGTTACAAATGATACAGGATCGACTGAATCGATATGCAAGGTGATCTCGATTTTACTGTGCTTTGCTTTATTATGGGAGCACTTCACGCATGCTAGAATATAATTTTTGACGTAAGTACGCATTCGTGCGAACCAAAAATGCTTTAATATCTTTTGTAACGTTTTATCGACTTTGTAATGACGCATTTGATCATGATAATATTATACTACACGCCAACGTATTGCCTTAGGTACCACTAACAACGATTTATTTCCTAGTTTTCGATATAGCCTATTGTTGTTTAATATGTAGTCATTCTTGAATTGCTTTTCTGGTGACGACTTTCGACGACCAAACAGTATATCTACTACCGAACGTATCTTCGAACGTATATAACTTCTGAATATGGAGATGTTGGGTCCCCGACTCATAGCATGACATATCCAATACGGTCTGACGAGTGATGAATCGAAACATAATCATACTTCATCAACCGAATTCAAGACCGTACGATACGTGGAATCACAGGAGTTTTATATTTTATTATTGTTATTGCTACACATTCCGTAACTACCTTACATCTTCTACCCAATACGTACATACGAAAACGTCTCTATGACTGCCAAAACTTCAAGTTCGTTACTATAAAAATGTTGTTCTTGTGCTGAACAGTGACGACTGAAGTCGTCACCTTCCATCTCTTACCATCATCCGCCAACTGCAATCCCGACGCTAATTGCATCAGTATGTATCTCGTGTAAATAGTTGAAGTCATATATTGCCAATACTGGTTCATTAACCAGCACCTCTTTGAGTTTTTCAAACGCAATTTGCTCTGTTATACTCAATGCGAAATTTGTCAATGTATCCTTCTTTGTTAAGTGCGTAAGTGGTTTAGCAATCGTTGACTATCCCTCAACTAATTTACGGAAAAATGCCATAAGTCCCAAGAACCGCCGAACTTCAGTTGTAGTTGTTGGTACTTTAAAATTCGATTCGATAACCAAGAAAGTGAATTTCTGAGGCCATAAACGTACATTTGTCTAATCGCAATGTTAATGCACAACTCCTTAATGTTGACAAAAACTTATCAAGGAACATTAAACCTTTCTCAAAGATACGGCTTGATAATATTACATCGCCCAAGTAAGTAATGATTTTTGACGGCTTTAAGTTAGCAACTTGATTTATTATCTCCTGAAACACTGATAGTGCATTTACAAGGCCAAATGGCATTCTGTTATAAATATTATATGTAGTGTGTACGATCTTAGGTGATCGTTCATTTTCCTAAAAGTAGGCAAGGTTGTTTGCATCTAGACGGTTGTTTGCATCTAGACGGTTGTTGACTAGAACCAAAACATCAGTTCGTCAGTTCGACGATAAGAAATGCTGATTTTTGGTATTTGGTTAATAATTGGTGTCGTGATGTAAGTGACTTTGAAAATATTAAATGCGGAAGAATTGCAAAAATAATGAAGGGCATTCTTGTAATAATAAGAACTTTGCGAATTTAGCAAAGTGTATTATGAAATTGTGTAAAAACCTAAATGGGGTAATTGTGGCATTTCTAAGGTCAGGTATTGCATCAAATTTAGGTATATAAGATTAAATTTGTAACACTAAAAAGGGAATCGTTTGAGAGTCGATTGGAAGAAGTGAGTGTGGTCTCTGAAGAGCCGTTGGGCTCTGCAGACCAGTGGGTTGTATTCTGAGACGCTGGTGCGTGAGTTCTGTAAGTTCAGCTACTCTGTTTATAGAAAGGACTAGTCTGTTTAACCGCATTATGTTTAAGTGAAGGACAAAAAAGAGTTGATATTTATTATAAAATTGAATATGTGATTTAAAAAAAAAAAGAAAAGAAAAAACAATAACAAACATATATTGAAAAGTGGTTAAGGAATAAATAAGCATATTTGAATGACTAAAATAATATAATTAAGTCAGTTATTGTTAAGTGCAGTTAACAGCAGTGAATAATAATTAATTGAACATAAATATCAGAAAGAAGTT